GAGGAGTGGATCTGCATGCAAACTCAAAGTGAAAAAATGTAAAAATGAAAAGACGATGTAAAATTATTGAAGGTTGACAAATTTATTAAAACATAACAAAATCAATAGCTCCTGCTATATTCACTAACGTTAAAGAGAGGAAAATTGTGAGATATTATATATACATAAAAAATAAGAAACGGTATTAACCAATCGGAACCAAGTTAAATAAACAATCAGTTGATTGGACCACAAAATAAAAGTTTGGTGACAAGTTAATGAGTGGATTATAATTACAAGTAAACCATAATACGATGTCGGCTGAATAGTAAGCGACAGTGTAGGCCTATTAACTGGATGTCCAAACCAAATTTTACAAATCGGCCTATACCTATTTCTAAAAAAATCAAATTTTATAACTCACAAATTGGTAAGGATTGTTGCATGATTCTAAATCCAAATTTTAAAATCAATAATTTTTTAGAATTTATTTAGACCTATTATAAAATAAGCTATTCAGCGTATCCCGTGATCAAAATCAAATAAAAACATAGTGCCAACACTCAGCCGGAAAGCACAATTTTCCTTTAAGTTTCTTCACAATTACTTACCAAAAACATAAATTGTGATATGCTTCCGAAATACTTCATTCAATAATAAAGGTTAATTTCAAAGGGCGCAATTCTAAGTTTAAATTTTCACTGGAATATTTTATTCTTGATGTAATATCATAATGCCTTGATTGTCTGTTTGTAGTTGTTTCTGTTTAAGTAATTCACTTGAAATTGTTTTGGTATAGTTTATCTATATGGAACAATTGTTTTTTTTCTTATATATAAAATATTAATGACCCGAAAATGTACTAACTGCTATTTCCATATTGGACTAATAAAATTGAATCTTAGTCAAGTCAATAACCGTCTCCCCCAGAAATACCACTGATTAAATGTGAAAGTTTTTGGCAATTGAATTTCGGTGAAACTATTAAGAAATTGATGATTAATATGAGACAGTACTCACCTTGTGTTTGTTCACCTTTCAAAAAGGCAAACAGTAGGCCTACAAGAAGAATGATCATGTTCGACAACTGTTGCATCAGATGGAACTGGAGAAGCTACATTTTCCACATCTAGTGTCAAATAGAATAGTATGATAGTGCAAGCTGTTTTTATTTTGTCAGAAATGGTGGTATTCGAAATGTTCAATTTACTCTAGACCTGTCCTTGGATGTTACTGGTTCTGTTGCAAATGACGTCGTATGGAACTATACACTAGGCAGTTCTAATAATATTGCCATAGGCATTGTATGCAATTATTTTGACTATAGCGGGCGCTCTGCATTATTATATTATTATTATCAGGCATGAGGGAATTTCATATTTTTCACTTGTCCCGGATAAGTACCCTTGCAAAATGCACTTGTACTGAAGACAATTTTACTTGTCCAAATATTATTGCGCAATAATCATAAAAAATAACACAAAAGTAAAGTATTTTTGTTGTGGCCCTCCAAATATTATTGCGCAATAATCATAAAAAATAACACAAAAGTAAAGTATTTTTGTTGTGGCCCTACAACATTAATAGGCCTAAATGCTGCATACGAAAAATGTTTTTCTTTTTGTAATTCAAATAAAATAAACATTATTAATAATATTCATAATGTAGGCAAGTGTGTGTCGATCGTTTTCTTATTGCGTGCTTAAAAGCCGTCGTCACGACAACTGAAAGTAAAAATTTCTCAGGCATGGTTGATTCCCACTATACACGAGTTCTCAGCCACACGCACAGGACTGTGTTTTATGACGTTATTTTGGGAATGAGGGTGGCCATATCGTAGTACCCGTCTGCAGATTTTAATCAATTCTAATACTAACTTCAAAAGTGTTTTTTTTAGGAGTATACAAAAAAAAAACTAATTAAAATTGCACGGAAAAACCTCTAGAAAAATAGATGCACAGAATCGTAAATAGGCCTACTTGTGTTACGTTCCTACTATCAAGGGCCACAATTTGCTGCAAAATATCCGTGGAAATCGGCTCATATATTTTCGAATTTCTGGGCCTAATATTTCACGCAGGGAATTACAGCCTGACACATCCTCATTTCATTTATTGCAAAATAAATAAAATTGCTTACCTCTCAACGAAAGCAAGCACTGTGTAGGCATAACTCTGAACATGGGCAGAGGGGACGATTCCACTTCTAGAGAATCCATTCCGAGTCTGAGACGGCGAAATTTTTGAGACGGGAAAATGGTTCATATATAGGCCTATAGGCCCTAAACCCTCAATTTTCAATCAACTCCAGTTCTAAAAGATTTGAGTTTTATATTATAGGGCCTATTAATAATAATAATAATAATAATAATAATAATAATAATAATAATATTAATAATAATAATAATAATAATAATAATAATAGTTGGATTTGTAGAGCGCATCATGCGAAAAAGCCTATGTCTGCGCTTGGTGATTGAGTTCTTTGAGTGACATTTTGAAAAAAGTTAAAGTTATTTTGTGAAACTGAAAAACCTACTCCTTAAACTAAGTCATGGTTGTCAGTTGGCTCCAAGGAGCTCATCCGCCCTTTGTTCAGCTTTGTTTATCTTAAAAAATATCCTTGTTTGACTGGAAGTCAGTGAAGTCGGTTCAGAATGGGAGTGATAGGCCTATGCACATTATCTCCATCACTTAGCAGTGAATGATTTTTGAATTACTTTAACAATTTAAAATCCCAATTTAACTACCCTTTCTTAAGTTAAGAAAGGGTAGTTAAATTGGGTTGGGAATATAAGAAATTGGGAATATCGGCCAAAATTCGACCAGACTTTAATCCGATTAGAAGACAAAAGTGGGTACATAATTACACGAAAATCAGCGGTCATTCGTTAGAAATTTAAGAAATTCAAATGATATACACAGAACAATGTTAAACTTTCACTGTTTTTCATCTTTTAATTATCACCATAAAATACATGCCCAGCTACATCATTATAAATAGTTTATTAATATTATGTTCTTTAATTGCTGGCATGTAGGGGCGAATCTACAGATGTCCGAAAGCGGGAGGGGCCGGGGCCGAAAAAGATAACAACATCTTGGAGAAATTTTTGTTTTCTAGACGCCCGAAAATAACCTCTGATACGTTTGAAAATTGCGTTAAAATCACATTATTAAAATTGATCTAAATTTGATTTAAATGTATTAAATATTAAGGTACACTGTAGTCGATCTATAGCATAGTTACCAACTGTCTCGCATTTCAAAGTGATTTTGGATGAAACACACATTTTGCAGAAACACATGCGTGATCCATAATTTGTCACGCATTTAGCACAAATCTATGCGTGATAACGAATTATCACGAATTCAGGGGAAATGTATTTAAAATTAAAAGAAATTGGTTTTATTTAAAATTATAGGCCCTTATATAAATAATCATGCAGAAACAATTCAACTGAATAGAAGCCAATTTATCAAAGAAAGTTTCACCGATAAGCATTAAATAGAATATTTTGTAAATAGCATTTAGTTTTCCATATTTGTTGTGTTTGGTAATTGTTTGTACACATGTCCCTCATTCTTTTAACGCCAACATAAAGTCCATGGCTGCCGAATGTCTGAAATCAGACGGCTACAAGTACCAGTAAATGAGTCATTAGAGAGTACTTAATATTTATGTGAATATTTATTTAACTGACGCGTTAATAAAATTGTTGTCAGTAAAATGTTTAGGTCAACATAGTTCGGGTGCTCAATTACATTGAAACTAAAAATACTTTTGCTTATGTCACCGTTATTGTCAAGACACACTCTCTGAAATCGTTTTAAAACAGCTTTAATGCTCAGATCGTCGGAGCGCCTGGGGCCACGCCCCCTCGACCCCAGCTGGGCTCCGCCTCTGGACCCCGCCCCTCCCCATCACCAAATGGTGTAGTCACTCACGCATTTCAAATCTCTCAGGTTGGTAACTATGCTAGAGTAAAAAATTTAAGGGCCTGTTATTGGCAAATTCGCGGTGAATTAAGTTATAGTTAGGTAACACAAACTGGCGTTAAAGCAAACCTATGAAAACTTTAATAAATACTTTATCTAAACTTTCTAAATTCGCCTCTGAATGTTATTGTCGCAGTACTTAAATCAATAAATCAATGTTGCTATCAGAATTATCTTCTTCATTCTCATATACAACCTAACTCTAGAGTAACTTCAAAGAAGTCTCTGGCATAACGCTTGCTTGAAATTGGAGGTGCCATCGGACCCGAAAGATCACATGTTCTACATAAAGAACACTGCAGCACCTAGGCCTATACAATTCAAGTAGGCAATAATAAATTAATTAAAGTACAGTATTTAATATATTCAAAAGATATTCCAAAGAGATAGAACCTCCACCAGGATGGAACATATGCAAACACACACAATATATGGTACAAAATTGCATTGAACTGTCTTCATAAAGCATAAACGAGGATAAACTTCATATAAAATAATAATATTTCATCCGAACAATTTAAATTATTAAATGTAACTGTTATCTTTTAAATAAACTCTCGGCGTCCAATCCCGGCTGAATCGGGGAACCTAGATTAAGTGTTTAGTGCAGTACAAACAAAGGTACATGATTAGAATCAAATATAGAATTTAAGCTAACAAAAACAACATATCCAAAACAAATCTACGTTATATTAGGCCTATATTGAAAAAAAAAGTAAACTTTTTAAAAATTCGGCCAAATTCGGCCAAATGTATTTTGGCCGTGACTTTTCAAACGTTACGGCCAGGCAAATTTTTATACGGCCAAATTTGACGAATATGGCCGTCGAAAAGGCCAAATGGCAACCTGAAATAGACTAGGCCTTTTTCAAAGTCGGCCTAATGGCTGCTGTTCATATTCGTACTCGAAAGTAATTACTAGTCTTGAAGTCCAGACATTTCATGTCGTCCAACTCAACTAATCATCTAATAGCTGTGCGCCCAAAGTCTTTAAATAAGTCTGGTATGTATAGACTAGACCAGAGCGAATTTAGAGTGCAGCAGGCCCAGACGGCTGACGGCTAACAAGGTATCGTGCGAAATATGTACCTGTTGTAGGTCTAATGTGTAGGCCCTGTCTCTTATACACATCTGATGTGTATAAGAGACAGGTATACCAATGCTCAGGAGCCTATTTTGACGTAGTTTTTACAGTATACCAATGCTCAGGAGCCTATTTTGACGTAGTTTTTACAGTATACCAATGCTCAGGAGCCTATTTTGACGTAGTTTTTACAGTATACCAATGCTTTTTTGGGGGCTACGAAAACCTTAAATCTTTCATCCACAAACTTGTTCCATGTTAAAATAAACAGTAGGAATGCTGTATAGTGACGCATTATGTTCATCATCGGCCATTTGGTTGTGATACCAACATAGGAAGATTGAGATAATTTAAGGGTCTTTGTTTTATAGACACTCTATGAGTGTCTACAAAACGAAGACCCGAAAAACGAAGGCCCACGTTTTTTTTTTTTTTTTTTTCTCTCAATCGTGATGAAATAGGTACTTGGCAACTGTTTTATGATGATTTTGAGATACTTTCAATAAGTGGAGGAGTCGAATGGCCGAGCGGTTAGTGTAATATTGTATACATGTAATTCTCAAGTTGTTGTGCCCGATTCTAATGTATGTTCCAGATGCAAAGACTGGATCTTCACTATGATTGTAGTGATATGACAAGCGAGATGGTTTACTTTAAATAACTGAACTGACTACATCTCTTCTGGTTATAATGCAAAGCTTTTATTCACACTGCGTGATATATACAATATATACAAGTAAGATTGTGAGACGTAGTGTTTCCTTCAAGGTATCAGAAAGAAGTCTTCTCTAGATAACTAATACTTTACTTTTCATACAAGCTTGGGGTGTGGTGGACTTTCTCTGATTGGTTGAAAGATATCACCTTATCCTAATCATTTGACTATTACATCATTTTGGGGAGTGTCTATTGGTCAGATAATATAACAACTTTGGGGGTAAAAGTGAACTTATATTTAGTAACGAGCTGTCTCTCAATCGAGCTTATTTTATAAATCAAATGCAAGGAGTTGACCACTTGGACTTTTTGTCATGAATTGGCTATTATCCTGTCAAAGACTTCATATATAATAATTAGGGAGACATTCAACAGGTGCCCACTGAATTAGTGAGGTAATGGGGTAGTGAGGTAAAAGTTCAGTCCAATGG